TAGTTATATTTTATCCTCATTGTGCCTAGTTAATTGTTTAAGTACTTAAGGGTATTCTTTCTATCGATCTGTACCTTATCATAGTATTTCGGATTGATTGAATTGTACAGTCTATAGTATATTTAATCATTTTTTTTTTGTAAACTTCTTGTCTATACATGCAAATACATTCTCCCTGATGTTAATCTTACGTATATGTACGTGTGTACGTTATAATTGATTGTCTATACTCATCTTGGTTGGATGTATCTGGTAATGCGAATCTTGACTCTTGCGTTGCGTGTTGCCTCCATTCTTTTGCATAGTTTTATCTGCGAGTACAGGTAGTAAGATCATATAGGCGTATATGTCTTCAATTTTTCACATGATTGTAATCTTATGGTCGGTATCTGGCCAGTGTCTTGCGCACAGGTATGTATCTGCTATTACTTGTAGAATGTTTATTTTGCAAGGCCCTATTGATGTTAATATCAATAAATTCGAGTTTGCAGTTGGACGCAATTACAGATTCGGAGGTCATTTTACCAACGAATATATATATATATATATATTGTGGTCGGAAAGCTTTGCCACAATTTGCTCACCAGCCATTTCGAATATGTAGCTTCATGTGTACGAAAAGACGCCCGAATGCTTCTCTCTCTCTCTGATTAGTCTAGATGGGCCGATTTTTTACGTCTCGAGAATGTCATCGCCTGTGTTATCATACTTGTAATATATTGTCATCAATTCCGAAGGTTCCCGAGGACCAAGTAGGTCTGAGGTTCCTACTGGGCGAGAGGAAATCGGAAATGCAGAATTTCGCTGCTACAAATAATCTCGAACAAGTGATGGAAGAGTTCTTCAGTGCATGGCCTGAAGGTAAGCGACAAGTCGTCTACAGGTGATTTTCAAGCTGTGTGCGATCAGCGAGCATTCTTGCCAAAATTGAAGCCCCTATAGTGTGTTTGCGCACGCACATTTGCGCGTGGTGTTGTCTTTCGGACCTGTATGAAGTATGTGGAACTCCACCGGTTTGTGTTGCTAAGCTTACGTATCGTCTCGATTAACGTAAGCTACACTCACTCTGTATTGCTCTCGGTTGGCATCCATAGTACGTAGTTCGGTGGAATCATGCTTTGTAAAAGTACACTATCACGCCCTCCTCCGTCCATTGTCGATGATCTTTTCGAGAACGCTGTTTTGGGGCTCGACACTCTGCTTTATAGCTTCCTCTCTCGTCAGTCTTGTCGTTTTATGATTTCATAATGAACGGGTGCGCACACATTTGGATTATTGACTCGGCTGTCAAAACTGTTTTATGTTTTTGTTTCGATTAGAATGGACGTCTATGAAGCCGAAAGCAGCAAATCAATTGAGAGTCATATACGGGGGCGGGGTGAGACCGGGAACGACACAACTGAGCAGTATGTTATAATGCCAGTCTGTATAATCCGCATACAACTTGCATCAGGCTGCGCAGTGAGCATACTACCTTCTGTTCTACCTAAAACTTATCCCGATAGTCGCTCGCTTGGTATTTCAAGTTTGAATTCGTTTGTAACTAATATATGTTCATTTGCGATATGTCAGCCTTCCATACTGTTACGTGCGAGATTGGACATTGATTTCTCGGCGATATATTTCACTTTTATTTATATTTTAAAGAATTCGCTTTCTTTGATTGGGTTACTTATCTTCATCAGGTCTGGTCAATGGGGGTTCTACAGCCATTATGCACCTGCACGTTGCTCCGGAAGGCCTTCCAGAGGCAGCGACGTCAAGTATGTCTAAGAGTGTAGTATGTTGAGTGTGCTGGTGAAGAAAGCAGAACCCAGCAAATAAGACATACATACGTTGTAGTACTATATATATATATATATATACATACATACATATTCATATATATATATATATATATACTAACAAACTATACATA